ATATATATATATATAATATGCCTGTAGCAGCCATTCAGCCACTGAAATTATCGATGGAAGTAGCTTGTAAACTAAACTAGATTATCACTAAAGTAAGAATTACTTTACCTGGACATGATTATTTGTCAGTCTGAAATATAACACGTCTGCGATCGCGGTATAGCTGACAAAACTGCTGTAGTAGCTGCAGTTCTTCAAAACATGTGGATCAGGCTGAAGAAAAAACTAGCTTCGACCTCCATTGTTAGTTCTTGAAGCGTGAACATGGTTGCTAGGTGACCACACTTACGCCGGGTAAGAGCGGGAATGAAAGCCGAAGGCTAGACCGTCCAAATTCACAGCGACTTTCTTCCGGTCTTCCCGGTCTACTAAGGACCCGGCCCACCTCGACGGGGAAGGCTGGGTCCTTCGGAGGACCCGGCCTGCCTTGTCTGATACGTTCCTAACTGACGTCACACTTCCTACATCCGGGCACTGCTCCCCCATATCAGTAGGATGAAACCTGAGGTATATTTACCTCATTGGATAAAACAAACTGAAAGCAACTTTCTACATCAGTGAATGTGTGATAGATCAATAACACATGCATGTCAAGTTGTTGGACTGACCGATAGTCAGTAAATTACACGGATTTTCCCCCAATTAAATGCAGCTTCATACTTATTTTACATCTCAGAGCCTGTAGGACATAAAAAGCAATAAATAAAATTAAATAACATCTCCCAAACCTCTATGCCGCTAAAAATAAGTTCTCCACCGCCCCATCCTCCTTTACGGATCATGATACAGGCAAACACCCTGTATGATAGTGATTGTGTTCTGCTGAGTTAAACTAGACATATCATGTTTTAAATCCTTCTTTTTCCGCATTTAAATCATTCAGCCCATTTTCTCATTTTGACGCTGTCTCTTTAAATCCAAACACTACACACCCCACACACCTCCAGCTTTCAGGGCAGTCCATTCTAGTTTGATAGAGGGGGTTATGACTATGCAGCAGTGCAAAAACCTTTTGTTTAAAAATAATTAAAAGATGTCAACAACAGAAAACTTGTCCACAAGTGTGCAATGCTTGAATAATTTGGGTTTAAATTATTACCTATAAATTCAATCTATAGGCACACATTTTAATTACATTCATATGCAAACACTTTTTTTTTTTTACCCTGCCTGTGATCAGAATTTTGTTCTTATGTCATTACATCCTTCACCCAGCCACTAAACACTTTTATGAACATAGTGCCGGTGTAGTTTCGACCCTTGTGAATTAGATCAGCCAAAGTGACCGCTGAGATGAAGTCCAATCGGGAACACATTTTGGATTTGTTCACCTTTATTATCCAAATTATGGAATTTCTTCACATGTTTTACAAAGACACTGTATCTCTACAGCATTTGAAAAAGCCATATGATAACCAGAGGTCAATACTTGAAAAAAAAAAAACTAAGTAAAAGTAAAATTACATTAATAAAAAATGACTTTGGTAAAATAAATTTCACTGATGAAAAAACTACTCAAATAAAAGTGATAAAAATGTTCACAAAAATTGGGAAAGTAAAAGTATTTTTACACACTCTAAGAAATAAACTGTATAATTTACTGAACCGAACTAATTCCACTAGACCAGGTTGAGTAAATTGAAAATTAAATGTATATAATTTGCTCAATTTACTCAGCTAGGCCTAATGGAGCCAGCTGACATGACTTAGTTGAGTAAATTCAACACTTCATTTTTCAGAGTGTATAAACATCCTCTTTAATGATGAGTTTGAACATATTTATTTTGTAACGAGTAAATAGGTGCTACATTTTAAAGTAAAGAAGTAAAAGTACAATTTTTAGCTTTAAAACAGGGGTGCCCAAACATTTTCCCTGAGAGGGCCAAAATTAAAAAACTTTTTTCCTGAGAGGGCCAAAATTAAAATCAATCTGAGGGCCGCGGGCCAAATGCAATAATATAAGAAATGCATGATACATAAGTAAAGTTGTTTTATTTTTTTATGATTAAGCTAGCAGCCAGTGTGGTTGCCCACATTTTATTCAGATCATGGACATGGAGAAAATTCAACGTATGCTCAGGCAGCAAAGACTCATGGGACTTTTCATAATTTAAAATTTGAGTATATGTGGTCTTATAAGGTGTGCAAATCTATATATGGGCTTAAATCTAATCTAAATGTCTCTCGTAGTTACTTGTATTTTATATTTAATCTTAACATAATTATAATCTAATAACCAGGACAACTGCTGGTGGGCCAAATCAAATGGCTAGGTGGGCCAATTTTGGCCCGCGGGCCCCACTTTGGGCACCTCTGCTTTAAAACGTAACAAAATAAAAGTTAAAGTAGCTTTTTGAAAAATTAATTGGTAAAATTACAAATACTAAAAAAAACTACTTAAGTACTGTAACAAAATAAATGTACTTAGTTACTATAAACCTCTAATGATAACCAATGTGGCTTCCAGTGGTGGGCCCAGTTCCCCCAAAGCGGGGGAACTAATTTCCTGATTAGTGCTTTGGGGCTTTTGCTAATTTTAAAATTAATTATTGGATTAGCTTTAAATTAAATGTCATTGAGCAACATTAATGTTAACAACTGATGGTGAAAGCTGTCACTTGTTTTGTTCATGCGTTACTTAACTAAGGCGACATATTGACAATATATGAACCCAAATATGGCTGATGAACATCAATGATAAGTGTTAAGAGAGTGGCATGGCAAAATGTGACTCATGTTGTCTGTTGAGGAATGTTCATGGGTTGACTGGGTTATTTTAGTGCTTTAGAAGTAGCTTTGGCTAAATTTTCAGTGTGTTAGTGCTTTAGAATTAGGGAACCTAAATATTTCAGCTAGTGCGTTAGGGCTAGAGGAGCTAAATTTTAGATTAGTGCTGCCTACCACTGGTAGCTTCAAACAGGACTAGTTTCTGTTGTGCTCTAGTGGGAAATATGTATTAAATTGGAGTATGGAAGCCAGTAGTCAATAGCCAAACCCTTTGCCTTCACTTTCACTTGATTTTCACTGAAATGCCTCTTTCTACACCCCAATAAAAAGGTATTTTAAACATCACATACATGGTAGGAATATGGAAGCCCATTTCCGCCACCCTGATAAAAAAATAAAACTTGTATCTCGTAATTATGACTTAGCTATCTCATAACTATGAGATAGTATCTCATGAGATGCTATCTCATAATTATGAGATACTATCTCATAGTTATGAGATAGCTAAGTCATAATTATGAGATACAAGTTTTATTTTTTTATCAGGGTGGCGGAAATGGGCTTCCAAAGTAGGTATGTTTTAATTTTAGGTTCAGAAAAAAAAAAATCATAGAATGTATTTGGCTATATGTATGAAATTATATGGCGGCAGCCATCTTGGATTTTAACATGGCAACGTAATTTTTTTGATATGATCCTTCGCATAGCTTCAGTCACACCAAAATGAAAGTTTGGCACATTTTTTTGACCCAATTTGATACACTTCATTTTTTAAGGTGATATAATAACTAGAGTAGCCTGTAGTTGTCATATTATTGGGATGGCCCCTTTCTTGCATTTTGCACCGGGCTCCAAAACAACTAAATTCACCTCTGCATGGTGGCATTTTTGTGTATTTATGTTGTTTGTATAATTGTGTACTTTTTAGGAATTCCCTGCAGCACATTGAAAATATTTTAGTTTAGTGAATTAATTGTAATTAACTACTAAACTGCAGTAATGTGCAACTTTCCCCACTGTGGGATCAATAGTTTCACCTTATTTTAATGTGGACACTGTTATTGTCATAGGTTCATCTGCAATCCTTCCTGGTTTTGTCAACAATTTTGATTGTGTATATATTCATAGATGGATTCATATGAACACATTTAGATGAGTGAAGTCTGTTGAGTTATTGTCTAAATAAAATTAGTCAAATAATAATTCAAAACACATTCAAGAAAGTAAATTATGCAAAACTACTTTATTTACAAAACAAATGGCACAGCGTATCGGCACAGTAAATGCACATGCACACTCCAGACACGACCTGCTAGTTTCTTCCACATAAAATCCAAATCAAATTCAGTCAAACGGCAAAAGACATTTCAGGCAAGATTCACAGCCAAGATTTTTACTGAAGGAGCAAATATTGCTCAAGAGGAACAACAGTTCATTGTTTTTAAGGCCATTTTTAAAGGTCAGGATGAGGTGAAGACCAGCAGCATGTCATTGCAAATCAAAGTTACTAAAATGAACTAAACTGGCTACAAAGCACAGGTTATCTGGTCTGCCATACTTTGAAAGCACACAATTAAATAGAACTACAATGTAAGAAACAACAAAATCAAAGTTAAATTACTTCACTAATTTAAATCAACATACCTCCATGTGAGCAGGGAAACGCCCAGACCTAAAGAGGAAGTGGAGTATTTAAATTATACATCTACTTTTCACATTTATCTATGCAGGCTGATATTGTTCATTTAGTCCTTTTCCCACCTAATTATCAATAACTGAGGAATTGGACTCATTTGCATTGATCAGCTGTCAGATAATTTGTATAGAGGCACATTTTCCTTAAAAGCAAAAAGTTAAATCAAGTGTAAATTTTGCTCAGAACGTAGTAATTACTGCTAAAATCTTATACATTTTCAGTTTGGGCCAGGGGGTTCTGACAGATTAACTACTGTTAAATTTTTCTTGTGGAACATGAACAAAGACAAAACCAAACAGAACAGGTACAATAATAAAGTAATGGAATGGTACCAAAACCATGAACAGCAAACGATCAGACTGCTAGTTTGCTGGCTACAATGGAGGTTTTTCTTTGAGGCAGGTCCTGAGGTGTAGGAATGTGCTCCCCTGTGATCTCGGTCTTCTCTGTTGGGGTTGATGGGAGCTGCTTGTTCTTGATTTTTGCCTTGGCCATGTTGTAATCACCAGAGTCGAAATATTTTTGCTGGACAAAGACGACAGAGGAAATAAGAATACTGCAAGTTTGACCAAGTTTATAAAACAAATCAAATGATGTTTGAGTGTGTAAACGCACCCCTTTCTGAAGTCTTTTTCTGAGGAAGTCGGGGCCCACGGGTCTGGCTCCTAGATTAGGATACCTGGCCTTCAGTTTAGCCTCCTCTGTTTTTTCTGGGCTGATGACTTTGTCCTGCATTTCCTAATGGCATCAGAAAAATGTCAGTCTTTGACAACATGTCCAACATTTTAACAAACGTGGCAGTTTTGCTAATGAGCAAAAGCCACCTGTAATATCACTTTATATACATAATCTAAGAGGTGATGATAGGCATCGTCACTATCTGAGTAAATTTTCACTTTAGTTTGAATAATTAGCATGATTAGCTAAAGTGCTCCGTTTACTGACCGAGCGAGCTTTTGGTCTAATAAATACTAATTGTTGTCTCAAATTGTCCCTCTGCACCTTATTAATTAGAGCTACTTACAATTTGGTTTAGCAGTGTTAAAACAGGTAGGTATCACTCAATATTAGCTACTGGCTAGCTAGCTAGCTAGCTAGCTAAGCGCGTGCCGCCTTAAGATTTCCTCATTAAAAGTTCAACACGACGTTTGAAACCGTAGTCGGCTGTTTTGCATTTACCTGTTCTTCTAAAGACTTCACTTCTTCATCGGACATGATGAAGACTTGTTTCGTTTGTTAAGACTGAAAAGGGACAAAGCCGAGAAGCAGCTCCGTCAAGGTTCGACAGGGTAAGATGATGTGAGGAAGCTGCAGAGCCGTCAGTGTGCAGTGGAGCAACAGAACAGACTCGATTAGTCGATGCCAGACAGAGATAGGAGCGAGATGTGCGCTCCTTTTATTATCCAAGAAAGACGACCGGATTTTTTTTTTTTTGTGTGTGTGTGTGTGTGTGTGTGGGGGGGGTATGCTGAGGAATAATCTGTTTTAGCAATCAAGTTTTATTCTCATCTCAATTGTTGGGTCTACCCGTTCAGTCTACCCGTATGCCGGCGTATAAATGAAGCATGCGAACATTTGGTAATCGGTAGATTGCGAGTTCTCTTCCTAAACTTATGTGCCAAAATAAGAAACAAACGATAAATTCCAATGTTTACAAAAATATCAATTTATAGTATTTCCTAAACAAATGTCCTCACAACCAAAAATCTGTTTCAATCTTCCTAATCTTGCATTTTCTTTGCTGCCATGTATCAATCATATTAATCTAGAATGTTGTCATAAAACAAGGTGACAAAAAGATTGTGTTCCTCTCATGAACAAATAAGTTGTATAGTCATAACACTTTATAAACTGATAGGTAAATCGCTTGATTTTTGTGTCTGAACTAAAAAAAAAACAGACGTGTGAAGAGAGGGTCATGAGTGGAAAATCCCTTTTCCCCCTACAAAATATTTTTGTGGGAAAAATAAATTTAAAATGGCTCATGGTTTTTCAAATTTCAAAAATACCCAAATAAACAAGAGGACAACTTCATCAGAAAGCACCTGCTTTATTGTTATTTTTATTTTTTTACATATTCTGTGTGACTGCAACACTTTATCAAAACAAAGATTAAATCTATTAATTATGCCTGAAAACCAGTCTTATAACAAGGAAGGGTGAAGGGGGCTTTGTACTGTTAATGGATACAATTATACAATAATTTCAACCTGAATTCACTGATGTGACCATTCTCTGTTATCTGGAACTTTTAACTCCAAATAAATTTAAAAACACAAGTCCAAAGGAAAAAAAATGAAGTGAAAAATAACATTTAATCATCATCATCTCCCATTTCCACATCTTCTTGTAATCTCTGCACCATTTTGTCTTCCAGCTGTTTGGCTTTTCCTGCAAAAATAAAACAGAACAATCATCACAAAATAATTACACTTCCTGTTAGTAGAGAAAAACACAGATTGATAAAAATTTTATCCTGTGAATAAATGGATTTTTTTTCCTGAATGAATTTTGCATGTTGTCCATTTTAGTTGCATCCACTTAGGGCTGCCACGATTAATCAATTAATCGACGACTAATCGATTATTAAAATAATTGATGACTAATTTAATAATTGATTAATCGTTTTTTTTGTTGTTGTTGTTGTTCTTTACTTTGGTTTTCTCTCCAAACTGCTTTGACACCTTCCACTGCCACATCTGCCTTTCTGTCCTTGACACACATGCACAGTAGTGGTAACTGGGGTAGGCCGTGGACGTCACAAGACATTATACAGACAGGCTCTGGTATCATGGCTACCCAGCAACGGAGCTGAAAAGTGTGGGATCATTTTAAGAAAATGAAAGAGAAACCTGTGTAATATCTGCAGAGCAGAACTTGCCTTCCACAGCAATTATTTTTAGTTAGCATATAGCTAAAATCTAACCATGGTTATATAATAGTAGCTGCATTCTGACGTGATAAGCTGCACGTTTTATATTCAATTAACGTATGATCTGATTAGTCGACTAATCGAATAAATAATCGGTGATTAATCGATTATTAAAATAATCGTTTGTGGCAGCCCTACATCTGCTGCAGAAGTGTGACCAAATTAAATTTCACAATTCTTTATTCTCTTTAACATGACACCTCAAGCCCTCTGCATGGTCGATTAAAAAGTTTTAATTGACGTATAGTTGAGTGACTTCATGTCGTCCGCCTCTTGTCACACAAAATCACTGCGATTGATCAGAAGCTTGTGGGCGGGTTTGTTTATGCAGAAAAGCACTCAAACAATGATGAACTAATTAAAGATTTCATTATTTTATTTTATTTTTGGGCTATTGCCTCTTTCTGCACTCTTATCTTTCTTTACCCTTGAATTAATCTATTTTTATCATGCAACTAAATAACAATGGCAGCAGTTTTCTTCAACTACTCCTCTTCCATAAGTTGACTGTTGTGCACCCAAACAACACGGATAGCTCTGAGAAGCAGTTCTCTGAGGCAGTCAAAGTATGTCTATCTAAATGACTTCCAGATACTTAAAAAAGTAGTGAAATATCTAAAAACATATGGATGGAGACAGCACAGATACTGTGTACCAAGGAATCTTTCTGCAGAGAAGCATGGCACTCTGTTGTGACAAAATTGTGGTTAAACGGCAGATATGAGTGTGTCTGTCTCCAGCAGGAAAAAAAACCTGTTGTGTGACATGTACAGCAACGGGAGGGGTTTCCTAGGAGCTCAGTGCTTTGTGTCGTGTGGATCCTGAAAAGTGTGTGTGAAAACGAAAGTCGAGCAGCTACAGCTGGAGCATACTGGGTCCCTCAGTCCAGGACTTTAGGCACTTTCTTGCCACCTCGGTGAGATTTTTGGCAAAAGAGGTTTAAGACAACCCACCCCGTGCATCTTTGTGCAGCGGAGCAAGGTAGTTACCGAACAGAAACGGCCAACGTGTGAAAAAATAAGCCTGTGTGTTGACATCCTGTCCATGTGACCACCTGGTCACTAAATTAAACAACAACAGACGGATTTACCACAGATGGCCAGCTCCATCTGTCACTTTTCAACATCCAGCAGAAGCACTAAGAAGGACTGTACAGCTATTTTTCTGATGGTTTATGAAAACACCTCAGGGGTAAAGTTGCACAAATAAATGCTTTACCTGCATGTGGAGCTTTGATGAGGTGGATATTTTTCTTCACTTCGTTGATGGCCTCTTCTTTCTCCAATTGTTTGCCCTTCTTTAATCTACGCAGAGCAAAATAAAAATTGTTTTATTCCTGGAAATTCAAGGTGTTTGTCAAATCCAGAAACATAAATGAAGCAACTTTAACAACCCACAAACTTCAATTCACAAGAAATATGGCTCTTACCTGTTCATGATAAATCTTGCTTGTCGTTTTTGTTTTATTTCCTCCACACGTTTCATCGCCTCCACTGTGAAAGTAAAGAGACATGAAACTTAAATACGTGCGCAGATAAATAAAACGTTCATTAAAAAGAGAGTGAGACATTACCTGTCTTGTTCCACATCTCCCTGTTATATTTAACAGGAATATTTCTGCGTTTTTCAAACTCTAAGGAGTTGTCCTAAAAGACAAAGTGTTTGTTGGTTCAAAGACATGAAGATAATTTTATTTATTTCTTCAGGGAAAAAAAAAAAAAAAAAAAAAAAAAAAACACAAGGATAAGAAGCTTACCACAGCCAATTCTTTGCCAGCTGATTTTCTGAAAGCTTTGGTCCATCTGGTTTTTCTTGGGTTTCGCTTCTTCTTAAAGTTCTTGTGGCATTTTGATGTGCAGAACCTAAACATCTAAAAACAAGAAAATAAATTACAAACAAATCAGAAAAAATACAAGTGGATCAGACTTAAATTGAAAATTAGTTATGAATGTTAAACTGTAGTCCTGCAAATTAAAAATATATGAAAATAATTTATTTGCGCCAAAACTGATCATTTTTAGCCATATTTGTATGATCAATCCATGTTTCAGCTAATTTATGTAGTGATAAAATTGAGCAATTACAGAATATAAAGTCGATTTAAAAAGATTTACACATTCGATTACATTTACAGGGCAGTGCAAAATACTTAATTTGGTCATTAATCGCTTTGAAGTGTAGACCCAGATAAAAACAACTCAATAAACATCCTATATAATCTATGAATGGCCTTAATATATTACACTGTATGCTCGTGTATTTGTCCCAATAATGTAATAAAGGTTTTAACGCTTTTTAATATAATCAAAATTTTAAAATGTATTAGCATTATCATAATTTTGATTATAGTGTTTAAACTAACATCAACAACAAATAATAGCCTCCAAAAGGTAAATTAATACTCAGAATTGTTTTTCCATCACAAAAACAAGTATTAGCTCGATTCCACGTGCTAACAGCAGAGGGCGCCATATACTCTTATAAACAAATAATATGGGCCGGATGTTCAGGGCGAGATTTTATATTATAAAAAAGTTTTATTATAAGAGAACAACTCTGATACTGTTAAACAAGTTTAGAATGATTCAAATTTTGACTTTTTTATTATTATTATCTATATCCTCTTTATTCTTACTTTGATTTTCGCACGTGAGTGACTCAGACACGTTACGCTAACAAGCTAGCATTTTTAGCAACCAGCTAACAAGCCTTCTGTCCGAACATGAGCTTATACTAAACAGTACAGTTATTATTCGGTCACAAAAACAGCGTCATACCTTACAGTCGTTCCGTACAAACATCATTCCGTGACCGGGGTAGACTGGTGCCGAGCAGAAATAACACTTCTCGATACGCATCTTAGCAGCCGAAAAGCTGCGCGTAGCAGCTCCTGTGAAAAAAGGACCGACCCTCTCGAGCTTCTTCTTCTTCTTCTTGTTCCCCGAATGACTGCAGACAAGGTTTTCACTGAAGAACCACTGCCCCCTGGTGGTTTTATTAGCTACAGCGACGAATGTTGATCAGTTGGCTCCAAAAGTTAATCACTTGTAATGTTCAACTAATAATTATTCAGAGTTTTAAAATATTTGCTGAAATTATTCAAATCTGAGTGGTTCATCAGATATTTTGCTGACAGAAGAATAACAGCTGTTGCCAAAGTTTTAGACAAAAAATATTGCACTTTAATGTAAGCTTTCTGAGTAGATGCTCACCACACAAAATTTTAAAATTTTAAAAACTTGAGTTTTTCCTGTTTGCTAAGGGTACTTAGGTGTGGCAGCCATCTTGAATGGGGTTGACTCCAAAAGGCATTCACCTTATTAAAATTCATCTAACAACAAACACTAAAACATCGCATTTTGTCACCATTCAGTCGTATTGATTCAACATAATGTAACAACACAAATTATGTTTTTCAGAAACAATTTTATTACCTAATCTTTGTTACAAACTTGAGAGTATCAAAAAAAGTCTGTTGCAACATTTCAGCAGATAAAATCTTATATTTTGTTGCTCACTTTGGTTTATAAAATGCATTTTGGTACTCAAAAACATTGGAAAACTTAAATAACAGTGAAAACTACATTCTACAGCTAAATCCAAAACCTGTGACAGCAACGGTACCATGAACTCCCAAGTTAAGTTTAACTGAAATTATCACTCCGACAAACTCAATTAGAAGTGGGACACGTTTTGGGAAATGTCACATTATGATTTGAGAACTGTTTTGGTTTACAACGTTGTGCTAAAAACAAGAAATGGGAAAAAATGGAGAATCTAAATCTGAATTTTCCAACGTGACCTAAAAATCATTTAGGTGTTTTTACATTTCAAGCTGAAACAATAACTGGAAAAAGGCCTTTCTAGTGACCAAACCTATTCAAAATAATCACTTTTGAAAGCAAATCACATATGAAGTGTAAATGAAAACCAAATGAAATCACTACATAACAGAAGCTGAGTTCCTTTGGTCAGGATTATTTTGTATTACAAAGATATAGAAAATGATTATGTTGCTCTTCACAAAGAGGGTTTCTATTATGATAGTCAGAATCCTTCACTGTCACTCCTGGACAGGAAATACACCAAAGAGAAGAGAATTCTTCACCCTTACAAAATATGAATTATGAATTGTGACAAATGATTCCCTCACTTAGGAATAATTCTGATCATCCATCACTGGCAGACACACCGGATCTTTGGTCTTGTGACAATACTTTCCACTGCATCGTACCAAGGATCATCTGTATATAAAATAAGCCGTACCCATCTGAGGAAGAAGACAACTCTTTGGATAATAGCAATGGTCTAGAAGGCAGGTGGAGCACAGGGCTTGTGCTAAAGCTTTCACCAGATTAAAGCACTAAAAACGTTTACAGAGACATCATTTGAAGAATTCTTTTTCTTACATCTCTGGCAAACACAATATTTTGACAAACACTCCCTCACTGTACATCTGCTATATTTTTTTTGGTTGCCTTATAGTTTTCTTTTGTATCATCAAACATTCTTTGGGTACAGTTTCTCTCTGTCTTTGGATCTAGTTATTTATAGTATGTAAAGCCCTTCCTATTGTAAGGCAATGCTAAAGCTTTGAGTTCAGTGCACTAAAAATGCCAAACGATATCGTTTGATAAAGCTAAAAATAGTTTGGCAAAATCTAATGCACTTGTCATCTTCACAACAAAGATGAAAAAAAAGTGAAACAAAAGCTCTTTCAACCATGAAAATAAAAGAGTAGCATGTAATATCCTAAAGGAAGTTAAAAGGAAATAAAGTTTTTCACTTTGTCCCCTGAGTGTCAGATAATACTGCAGAAAATGTGATGAAGAGGAGGTAGTAAGGTTGAGGTAGATAATCCAACAAAAAAGGAGGGGATCCACTTCATCTTCCGCTTTAGTGGAAAAGTCATTAAATATAATGCAAATGTATCCCAGTACATTCTGACTTTTTTTTTAAAAAACATTCATCATGGGTGAGCTTTGGTTAGGACAGACTCTGCCAAACACACAAACAGGTAGAAAGTTGTCCAAAAAAAGTTGCAAAAGACATTCATACAAAATCCTGAGGTTTGTTCGTCCGAAGCGAGTGCACATTTCTTCCACTGCAGCAGCTGGCTTCCTGAACCCCCCCACGCCATCATGCAGGGGCTCCTTTCAGGAAGTGAAAGAGGTAGAAGTGGTGCAGCCTTGGGCGCCGAGGAGCAGACCCAGAACCCGGCGAGGTTCAGGTGCCGGCTGCCGTCCGAGTGAGCAGGGCGGGGTGAGAGACGTTCGAGGAGCCGGAGGGCCAGGAAGCACCGGAGGCCACGTGAGGGAAAGGATGCGTCGTTTCTGTTTCCACTTTCAAAGTCGGCTTCAGCTCAGTGCCGCCACCGTCCGACTCTGAAGATTCAGTCATCGAGCTGTGGCTGGTGGCGGGGGGGCTCATGTCTTCATTGCTTTCTTCGTTGGAGTAGTGTCCAGAGTCTCCCGTTTCCTGGCTGCCGGCGGGTTTCTTCGAGTGAAGGGGTCCGAAGAGGATCTCCTGGGTGGAAGTGGGCAGAGGAGCTGAGCCTGGACGCTCATCGTATCTCAGGACGGTCTTACCGGCTTCATACAAGCTGGCTCTCGTTTCAGCCTGAGGAGACAGAGACAGAAGTTAAAACACTGTAAAATAAAAAATGAAATTAGTCTGGATAACTTGAACAATTTCACAACTCTTACATCACTTGAAGGTAGATTTCTGTCATTTTTGAAAAGCAGCCACCTGCTGCTTTGAGTCTTGTTGCTGACTGGACCGGCACTATTTATGACGATGTTAGATCCACCCTGGAACAAATGTAACGACTGATTAATCAAACAGAAACTAAGAGAGCAGTAGTCATCAGCCAGCTTTAGAAGCCTGATCTCACCTTTGCATCTATGAAGTTACTTATCATGGGTAAAAGGGCTTCAACGTTCTCTGAGTGGAAGTCACTGGGCAGCTGCAAACCAGAAACCTCAGACGCTCCCACAGCAATCATTTTGGGACTGGATGATTTTCTGTTAGTCACACAAAAAATACAGTTTCTGTACATGTTTGTGTTATTTGTTTATTTTATTTTGCACACCAGGATGTTTAGTACCTTGGCTTGCCCTTGCTGATCAGGATCAGGGCACACATGGCGATGCAGGTTAATGCAATGCTTACACCAACCATGATCCCTGTCATGGACCTCTGGTTTATGTGGTACAGATCATCCGAAAACCCTGCAAGACAAAACAAATTGTTTCACATAGTTGATTGATTATATGCCTTAAAAACTGATTCTGTGGCACTGCGTCGGCTTTATCATTAGGGTTCATCGATGAGCCTTTTATACAACTTTAAAGTGCCTGTGACATCAAATTTTTGTAATAAATATGAATGTATTTTTGGAAAGAAAACATTGATAACATAGTGTTAAAAAAAGATTTCATGCCGCTGGGATGAACAGTTGTTGAGATATTTGCATGTTCAGTAACAGGAAGTGATGTCAAAGGGGAATGTCTGAATGCCAACAAAACATGACTGTAGAGAAGAATCTGATGTTTCTTTTCTAATCACTATCATAGGGAGATGAGAAAGAGTCATAGCTCAAATAATATTGTTTCAATAAATTAAAACCAGAGTTTTCTTTCTCAAAGAGTTCCCCTTTGATGTCACTTCCTGTTTCACTTCAGCTGAGCCAAATTCAAAAGAAAATATGCCAGTTATGTGACATAACGGGTCAAATCGTGTGTATCATGCCAAGTTTCTTAAATATAAATATATATTTTTTAACTTTTTTGTATTTCATGGATATGCATGTCACAGGCACTTTAAAACTAATGTGAAAAACTCTAAAACGAGAAGCATCCATCCTGCTTGATGTTTCGGTGTTTCGTGTTGCTGACCTGCTGGATCTGGGATGGTGTCGGAGTGCCTAACGTTCTTGCTGCGGTGGACACTTCCATGGTTCAGTGGCAGCTCCACAGTGTCAGAGAAAGGTCCATCACCGACCTTGTTGGAGGCGCATAACTTCACTAGGTAGACGTTCCCCGGCTCCAGCTTCTCTAACAAGGCCATTGTGTGACTTCCTACAATCATTAACACAAACAAAAAAAGACCAAGTGAGTCATAGTTCATTTAAAAGTGCCATGCATGCTAGTTTAATAGACTGGTTACCCTCTCTCTGTATTCTCTGCCAGCGTCCAGTCATCCAAGCCTTCTGTGACGTGTATAAGATGGTATAATGTGTGACCACCACGTTGGGCTCGGTGGGCTCCCTCCAGGACACCAGGGCGGTGTCGTCCTCGATCAGAGTTACTCGTACTCCTGCGGGAGGTTGACTAGGTGCTGCAGACAGAGGATGCGTGATCGTGAGAAACAAAATGAGGGAATATTAAGTTGCAGGGAAGGGAGCATAACTATGTTTCTATGCTACGTTCATGTTCAGTTTATTACCTGTCTGCAGGGTTTGATGGTAAACGACCAGACTCCAGGGGCTTGACATCTGGTCCACATGCAGACGAACCACAAACTCATAACGAGTGTTTGGGATCAAATTCTGCACAATCACACTCTGCTTGGTACTGTGAAGAAAAACAGTCATTTAACAGGGAATAATCTTTACCACATTCATTTTATGTCCTTTATATATAGGAGAGTCCGGCTGGTGAGGGGCTTACGTTTGCAGGTAGCGTATAGCAGAGACATTGTGGGTGCCCACAGGTGTACAGCGGACTGTAAAGCTGACAGCTTTCCCAGGAGCGAAGGCAGGATGACTCCAGCGCAGGGACACAGCAGAGGAGTTGCTGGTTAAGACGGTGACTTGATGTGGAGGAGGCGGGGCTGCCGCCACCTGGTCTCTAGCCGCTGAGAGATACAAACAAACAAACAATAAACAAACAAAAAAGGTGTAAAATTCAGAGACAAGCTGATTTTAAATAAGCTCTAGACTCGTACTCACACACACATCCTGGAGTACTAATTGTTTGGTCGGTCTGATAGCCATCTCCAACTTTACTGAGAGCCAGAATCTTGACGTGATACTTTCTCCTTGGATCTGAAATATGAAAAAAAGAAAGAAAAAATACTGTTTTCAGCTATGCTTTGTTAAAACAAAACAAACAAAAAACTCCAAAGTTGCCAAGATAACAATTCAACTTCAATCACGAGACGAAGCATCTTTTGTCCAAAACCTCACTTAGTAGGGAGCAAAAAAAAAAGGTTGGAAAAAGACACAGAACAATGAGCTGGGGCAGTGAAAGCTATCGTGATTTAGCAGGTCATATGTGGCCGTGCATGGACAATGCACCCTCCCTGTGTCACCTCAACCTCTCATTTGTCATGTGTTGTTCTTTGCAAGGAGCATGAGAAAGATCAGCAAGCCCAGTGACACAGCTAAAAACACATCATCACCATAAAACCCAAATCTCTTGATGAGCTTTAAAATAAAATATAAAGACATTACAGCCTAAAACAGCATAAACTAAAACACTGACTGGACAGTGACCAACAGAAGAGATGTGAGATCACTGATAAAACACAAGCAGAGGTCTGACAGCGCTTCACTTGAAAACATGTTTTAACTTGAAAAACTACCATTGCTCCAGGCTCTCTAAATCAGGAGGCTTTTCAAGCAGTGTTTAGATTTGTTTTATGCCTCAAGTGTGAAAGGTCAGCCTTTGGGTATTGACCAATGACAGCAGAGTGTCCAGGTCCATTTTGAAGGGGGAGGCTTCAGCTGCTGGGATCCTAGGCCCATGGGACCGGGTGGGGGTTTACTGGGGTCACCGAGCCAGGTCAACACAGAACAGAAGGAACCTGGACGCAGGGTTCTGGGGCAGGAGGTGGGCCCCTTTTGTTTCCCTTTTCGTGATTTTTTTCCTCTAGTTTTGTGTTATAGCCTTAAACTTAGGGGTAACAGAAACAAAACGACTGAGGATGGAACCAAAAAAAGTGAGGAAAACAAAAACATTTAAAGTTTTAAGTCCATATAATTGGGCTGCAAATCTACTCAGATGTCCTACTCATGATTCGGTGTAAACTGCGCAGTAATACTTTCTTAAATTTAATTTCTGCTTTATTTTTTTCTCTGTATAGTTTAGGCAATATTAAAAAAGAAGCTGTTGGTTATGTAAATGGGCAGCAGAGATGACCAGTGGGAGCAGGGTTATTAATCCAAGACCGGTCAGAGGCTCTGTCCAGCTTTGGTTCATCCCAAGTGTCTTTGTTTGTGTGCACCAGTGTCCAGCTGAAGGGAGGTGTTGGCCCGGGTCTTTCCAGGGCAAGTTTAGCCCTGGACTGAACACAATAGCTGTGCATAATGAAGCAAGTCTTGGGATGGGAAACGGTGGGAGGGACATCTGGTTACTGACCTTTAACCCTGGGAGCCTGATCCTAAACAATACCAGAGCAACACTGGGGGGAAGGCTGCTGGTTAGACAAGAGAGGTCAGCTCATATTGATCAGGACAGAGGGTGGAAATGCAAATACAGCATCCAACTGCCCACTGAATCAAATTAGGCGACGCAAAAACGATCTGAGTGAAAACCCATCGGTCACTCTGTCTAATTTGCAGGCGTTCACAAAGATAGTCAAACACATCCATGTGCATTTTTCCTTCCTCTCGTTACTCACCAAGGCCGCCGATAGTGTGGGCACGGGTTTGAGCTGGCAGCAGGGTGCTAGGCTGCTCCGGTTGGCCTTCCTCGTGGTAACACAGCCGGAAACCCTGAACAGCCACAGAATCCGGGGAGGTCTGCCAGCGAGCCACAATGGAGGTGCAGTTAAGAGGTTCAAGTTGAAGAACTGGGGCTGAAGGCACTAAGGAAGGGAGCAAAAAAAGCAAGCCCAATACAGATCAATACAATTTATTTATAAAGTATTAAAAATCACAAGGAAAAACTAAAACAAACCAACAAAAACAAAAGTGTGACTGAGCAAAATACATACGGATGATTTAAGCTCAAACTAATACAAATAAACAACATGCATATTTAAATAATTACCAATAAATACTTTTTTAAACCCAAAACTTTTCAATCTGATGTGCTCGACCAGTTCTATTCAAATATATAATTATTATTGCATATTTATAATTTTTAAACAGAAAATTCAGATTTAAAGGATAAAATCCTCCCCCTTCCCAGCAGGTCATTAAAACAGACGATTCTTTCCCCCCACATAGAAGCCTGAGGCCCTCTCTTTATGATCCGTGACTGAGGCCACTCTGAAACCACTGACAGCGAGGGGCAAAGGTTTCTGGGTAACCATCACAAAGAGTCTGGCACAATGCTACAAGAGCAAACTCTAGTATTATACTAAAACACACTGCATGAACTCTGGGGAACCTCCTGATGAGCCAACAGCAGCAAAACTAAATGTGACCAAAGCAAAAAAAAACAAAAACATAGGTCTTGTGTCTGTTTACCAAATGTTTGAATCAAATTATTCTACTTAAAAATAAATAAAAATCCACTATTTCCTATTTTCTAAGTTCATGACAGTGCTTTCTTCGACTCTGGCAGCTTTACCTTTATTGCTGGAGATCTTGGGTGTACGGTGTGAGGTCCATGCTGAGGGCTCACACCACCCCACACGTGTGGCTGCAGCCATGCGGAGCAGGTAAATAGTGTCTGGCTGCAGGCCCTCTAAGTGATACTCAGTGCTGTTGTGCGGCAGCTCCACGTTGGTGACGGTGTCATCAGTAGCGGTGCGATAGGAAAGCCTGTAGGCCATCATACGTCCACGGCTGATCTTGGCCGGCAGTGGCTGCCAGCTCACCTGGATGTCTGTAGAGCTGTGGCTGGTCAGAGTTAACTCCGGGGTACGCAGAGGCACTGCAGAAAAATACATCAACTTTATTAGAAAAAAAAAACAACCTTTTTAATCTGGTTCAAAATGCATCCCTTGTGGAGTCTCAGTGTGTTGAGCTTACCGTCCTCTAGAGTATGTTGACTGACTTGGTCTGACATTCGACTGGCTCCCATTGGCATATAAGCCACGATGTAAAAACTGTAGTTTCGTGCCGGCTCCAGGTCGTCGATGATGTAACTGGTTGTGTCGTTGCCAATAACAACTTGGTATTCTTCGTTGTTTAGTCCTGAAGTGCAAAAATACATAAATTACTTAAATAAACGTCCTGATGCATCTCAAGGTCCACTGGATGGATTCTTCTTTTTGAAAAAAAAAAAAAAGCATTTCATCTCTCCTCCAAGAGACTTCTTCAGTACTACTAAGTACTACAACTACTTTTAAGTAAACGTTCAAAAAGTTGGTTGAGTTGAGTTGGTTGATTATAATATCTTGCAGATTATGTATAAGGCTCATAAAAAATTACCTTTAAACATCCAGTTATACTTTATTAAGAGAGAAAGTTTATATAATATTAAGGAACTTGAGATGTTTATAAAACCTAAAATTCGAACAAATTTGAAGGACCGATCAGTTCAAGGAATAAGATTGTGTAATAATCTGGAAAGTGATTATAAAAATGTTGGTTCAATGTGTTTAAGAGAATGATGAAAATAAGTTTGTAAAGGAATATGAAATTGTATAATGTATATCAAAAGTTGTTTGAAAAGGAATTGAAGTCTTTATTTTGTTTTGTTCCTTGATTATTATTGTTTGAAATTAATTTTGGAAAAAAGGGGCAGATATTATAAGTTTTTTTTTCTTCTTTCTGCCTCCTTTCATTTCAAGTGTGATATGTCTTTTCTCTTTGTTGCGTATAAAATTTTTATGTTATTTTTAAATGAAATGAATAAAAAAAATCAATTAAAGAAATTAAATTGAATTAAAAAAGGACAAAGCTCCTCTAAAATGAGTATTGTAAGACACAAACTCCTAACTGCTTCCAGACTACTGAAAGAACAATTTTATATAGTTTCTTCATTATAAACATCTCTTTACAACGTTGGTTTGCAACCCTGTCCCTTTAAATGGAAACAGACTGAGCAGGAGAGTGGACAATGGGCCAGACGAGCCTGTTATTTAACTGAAGTTGTCATTCTGGGTCTCCCTTGACCTCTGCTCTACGCAGGAACAGCAGATGGCCTTCAGCCGGGAAACGCTGATCACATATAACAGTGAGGTTAGCAGTGACCTTGCATCTTGTCTCACTTCCATCCTTTAAAGTTTGGGACCGTCACCAAGCTCAAATGATGAGAATATTTAAAAAAAATGTTTACATCTTAGACTCACCTTCTGCTTTCATATAATGGATGGAGTAGGCAATAACTTTATCAGCATTGTAGAGTGGTCTCTCCCAGGCGAGTAAGATGGCGGAGCTGGAGATGGTCTCAGCATGGACGTTCCTGGGAGCACTGGGCCTGTCCTCGGACATGACAACAATGAGGCGGGCCAAAGACAGCACAGAACCCTGTTTGTTCTCTGCCACGCACTGATAGATGGCATCATCTTCAGGGATAATCTGGGTGATCACCAATTTACTGAGGGGAAAAAAAATTAAACATTTAAAAACAAACAATAAAACCATACATGAGCTATGAAGAGGTGTTTTTATTTCATTTAGATAATTCTTTAAGTTATTTTGATGTGCTTGACTCTGACCATCCTACCTGTTATACATTTTAATCCTCCCATTTAGGCGAACCTCCTCTCCATTCTTCAGCCAGCTGATGCGTGGCGGGGGCACTCCCTCCGCTTGGCACATAAATCGGGCGGTGCCTGCTCTTGGACGGGTTTGGCTCTCGGGGATCTCAACAATGTTTGGTGGCACTGAAACAAAATTTGTTTGCAAAAACCGATCAGAACTAATGCTAACGATTATCGATACGAAAGTTTGCATTTAGCACTTTTACTAGAAGTGGGTGTGAGGAATATATTGAACCTAGAACTGTGAGGTTAGCTGCTGCAATAGTGTGGTTGCGGGTTCCAGGTGTTGAGGCCCTGCAGAGGTAGACTCCACTGTGCTTGGAGTTAACATCGGTAATGACCAGATTCCCATTCCCCAGCACTTTGGCATTGTAAACATCAATAGGTTTGCTGTCAGCACGGCTCCAGGAGATGATGGGTGACGGATTGCCTGTGGCCACACACTCCAGGACCACGGTTTGGTGAAGGGATGTGGTAAGGTTCTGCGGGCCAGCGATGATTCGGGGCCTCTGACGTGCTTTAGGGCCTAAATCTTCACGAGAAAGCAGAAACGTTACGAGGAAGGACTTGGAGTTGAGTAAATTCTGTTATTGCAGTTGATGTACCTTTGCTGACTGTCAGCGTGGCCTCTCTACTCTTTAAACGACAGCCGATGTTGGTTGCCACGCATCGATATTGTCCAGCATCTTCCAGTTGTACATTGTGAATTTGGAGTACTCCATTGGGCAAAACTGTTATCCTGAGCACATAAAAGCACCAAATTATGGACAAAATAGAGGGTATATAAGGAAATGCTACTTTGTTACAAATATAAGTGTATTGTTTAGGTATTTCTGAATATAAAATAATGAAAATGTTAAAGTACCTGTCTGTTTGTAGTGGCAGTGTGCTTTGATTGAACTCCCAGGTGATGGTGGCAGAGGGAGTTGAAGAAACTGCACAGGAAAATCGTGCAACAGAGCCTTCAGACACCATCGTGGACACGGGGTGTATATTAAAGTCTGTGATCCCTGTGAATGAAATGAGCATGCCTGTCAGTAACAACGCATTGAAACAACTCGTCTTTCTGAAACTGTGTTAAGCTGGTGAATAACGAACTGATTTTGATGAATGTTTCTGATGAAATGAGATGAATTGATCTGTTAAGACACCACCTGCATGTGTGCAGATGAGGGATTATGTCTCATTGTGACTCTCTGGCCCAATCAATGGATCAATTTAAGAATGACAGTGAATGATGCATTATTATAGATAAAAAATAATCAATGCACTTTGCACAAAAAAACTGCAAACAGTAGAAAAGGACAAACAAATGTGAGTCTAGTTCATCACAAACAAGCAAAATGTAACTTTGTTTCGTGCTGCACACATTTTGCAGCTTTAAAATAGTCAAAAACTCCTCATTTCAGATTTTATTAATCAGATCCTCTAATTCAGATAAAAAAAAAACAACAATGCCAAAGTGTAGAAGAAGTGTGTTAAATCTCTACTCTCAATAACTTTTACATCAATAAAAGGAAATTATCATCTTTTTATAACCATATAATCAGTCTCATTAATGAAGGTTTTGGATCTCAGCTTCTTTACAACTTTGCTTCAGTCTTTTTGAAGTTTAGTTCTCATTTGTTTTTTGTTTTTTTTACCACCTAAAGTCCTTTCACAGTATTTCAGCAAGAGTGAAGTCAGGACTTGACTGCAGAGCTGATTTGTCAGTTCTGCTTTAGAGATGATCCGGTTTAGACAAAGATTCAGTTGAAGAATCTCATTTGACTCTAAAATACTTTGATCTGCAGAGGACCTGCTGGTCGTCTGCGAAGGGCCATGGTCCTGCAGCTGTAAAACAGACCCACATCATCACACCTCCATTACTGTGCCGGAGGTGTTTGTGCTTGTTTTTTTAATCAAACGTTCCACTGAGCGTTCTGGACAAACTTCTCGTCTTTGGTCTCATCTGTCTAAGGATGTCCAAGAAGTTAACTTGCAAATTTCATCAATTCTCTCATATTTTTTTAAAGAGATTGTATTCTTACAAACTAAAAAGCTATACTTCTTAGTTTTTTATTTATTTATTTATTTATTTATTTGATAATAAAAGTCTAATCTGGAGGTGAACTTGCTGAGACTTTGACGTGTGAAGATTGACAAATGTCTTAAAAATGTTATATAATTATTAGGACTTTAACCCTAAAATGTAAGCTTTTTTAGTATTCTTTATCATAGTTGTATGTGGACATTTAAGTTCAGTCCTGCTAATCAGAATAAATTCGCTGTGAACAATATGCAAAGTCACCCTTTACATATTTACACATTATGAAAACTCTTTTAACAGCCACCAGAAATACCCCACCTCATCTGCATTTAAGCAGGACACCCCATACCATATCATCAATGACCTTAATTCATTACGGTGATAAGTCCTCTCCCTCCCCCCTCACTCAAAGAGGAAGTCAATATCATGTTTTAGAAAATCAATACTCTTGCTATCCCTCTAAAACTCCACATTTAAACCACTGAGCTGTAGGAGAGCAAAATTACAGAAAGAAACTTTCATTAAAATATCATATGTTTTAAATATACAAACAATCTGATTGTCCTGGTTATGGGGTGAACCAAAACCATGGATTATTTTGCTAATTGTCTGCATTTTAAGCATTTCTTTCTTTGAAGGATAAGTACATAATATCTTAAGTCCGATGTATCAGTTTGAGATTTCACTTGTCATGTATTCTGGCAGTTGTTGACTGTTTTGTCTCAAAAAAAATCGCAGTAGATTGGTATGCTCTGTGAAATGCATGACAACTGATAAGAAGCTACAAATGCTAAGTTTAACTGTGTGGGCTCAGTGATGCAGGTGGTGGGTGTGGTCCATCTGCTAATACGGTCACGTCTGTCTGTCCTAGAGGAGAAATCAATGTTTAGGTCAAGCAGTGCAAAGGTTTCTCCAAAGAGGTCAGAGGTCACCCTGAACCCCCCTGTCCAGTCAAAATTACCCCAAACTGCAGCCAGATTTAAAACAGTTTGCCTGTTTCCCCTCACAAAAAAAGTTTGTTTTCTGTTATTTTTAACACTCAGAGTAATATTTGCAGGAGTTTACTGAATTATTTTGATAGTATTTTATGACAAAACTCTTATTAAACAATGTGTGCAAAATGCTGGAGATGCAAAGTGATGCAGACACTATAAAGATGTGAAAATGTCAAAGGACCAAAACTCTCTGCAGTGGAAACTCACAGCCTTTTACTCAGATGACAAAGTGCTTTTCTTGAAGGGGCAGTCGAGGGTCTGATCTAATGAAAGGAGGAACTGGGGCGCGGGGGGGGACGACGACACAGCAGCAGGACTCCCCCCACAGCAAGAGCAGGCCTGTGACATCACAAAGCCTTTCCACCGGTGACCCTTGACCCCTGGGATCTCTGGACAGAAGGGAAGCACAGAGGACTCCCATCCTCCACTCCCCGCCCACAGCTGACCGAAAAACCTTTAACCCTTTCACTGATGGAGATGGGATACCAGACAAACTTGAATTTGGATTTATCCAAGTCATAAATTTAAAATTTAAAAAAAGTTTGTTGCTGCTAGATTTTGAAAAATCACGATAAGACAAATGTTGATGTTTATCTGTGTGCACAGCTATATTCATAAACTGCTTGCAGAGTAAAACCAGCATAAGTTTAATATGGTGTTTATATAGTTTGGTAAAACTCTACAACCTCACTGTCAGTGTCAAAATCACTAAACTGCAGGGTCTACTCTAGCCTCCATGACAACAGCCATGGGATATCCTTTCTAAGACCTTTAAAAAGAGTCCACGGTAGACCAGGCTCAATGAATAGACACAGCTGTCTTGTCCACTGATATGTGGACAAACAAATGCCCTGAGCTCTAGCCTTTTCTTGCAGGGCAGTCGGGGGCACGCCAAACAAAAGCTGAAAGGCAAATGGCCTTTCAGAGATTCCTCTGTGTAGCAGACCACTCTGCAGTTACACACTGTCTGCAGTCACAATGCAGTCCTGCAAACATTTAAACAACTTTTTACTGGTTTTTACTGATTACCTTCATACGTGGACAAGCGGCGCTCTTCCTCAAAAGACCACACACTGCTTGTTTATAAAGTATTTATGAGTATTTGGATTGACTCCTCGTCTACTTTTAACCCATCACTTAAATCCTAATGATAAATGGTCTGACACAGAAGTCAGTACTTTGAGGCTTTTGTTGGGAGGAAAAACAAGGTGTTGAGGACATTAAGTCCCATGCTGCTTTTAAAAGTTTGACAATGACACACAGTGAACATCACTACCGAGTGTAACCATTCATCATTTTGGTTTCAGCTGTAGACAAACAAAGAAAAAAATAACTACTTAGCAGAACTCTTCATACTCACTTGCGATAGTCAGACGTGATCTTTGGCTTAAGATAGCTCCAAATCGGTTTTGGGAGAGGCACTGGTAGACTCCTTCATCTGAATCCTCCTTGGTATGCTTTGTCTTTGGTATGAACAAGGAGCCATTGGGCAGAAAGTTTATGTGTTCACTTTCTGTCAGCCTAACTCCATTCTTTAGCCACTTGATGGTGACTGGAGGGTGCCCATGGGCCTGGCAGTCCAACACCACAGGATTCTTTGGCAGCACGGTTACATCACTGGGCTCTGTGATGAAGGACAGCTCACTAAAACATAAAATACCTAAAAGGAGAGAATGGTAAGTTTAGTAAGGGTTGGACATGTATGAAACCTTAAAAAACATTGAAAATGATGTAACCTACTTGACTAAAGCCACTTTGTATAACAAACTTAACTACTCTTACATAATAAAAGAAATTGAGTATATTAAAACAGCATATGACTATAAACTGACATATTAATAAATACATATTGAACTATAAATAACAAAATATTTGCTTCTCTTTCATTCGTCTCACTTTAACAATTAACAATGTGAATTTTTGCTAAAATATATGTTGTCATACAAAATTTTGCCAAAAAAAAAAAAGACTTCTGCTCCTTAAAGAGCTAATATTCAAGCAAAACTGAGCATCCCGTTTGATAAAACGTGTACACATAGTAAAGTTTAGGTAACAGAATCTGCCTTTAAAATATTTTTAAACCAATTTGAATCAAAGCAAGATTATTAAAATATTGTTAATAACTTCAAGTAAGACAATTTCAGACAACTAAAAACAGTAAACAAAAAAAATTGCAATACTCACTCGATAAAGGAAGAAATAATAGAAAAAGAAGCCAACACTGGCAAAACTTCATCTTGAAATTGACCATTTATCCAGACTTTAGCGTCATATTTCCCTGTACCGAGAGCCGCCGGGATCCAGCGTGCGTCCCGCTCGGGCTCCGTATCACTTCTGATATCAAACCGCTGCTTTGGAGTGCCGGGGAGCTTACGCCCCGCCCCCTTACGCATGCGCAGTGATGTGGAAGTGGGAGGTCCAAGGGTTTTGTAAACAAAACACTTACTTGTGTTTTCTTTGATTGGAAATAAATCGTTTTATTAGTTTCTCATCTCGAGATACGGTTGACAACACCACTGTGAGTCTGTGATGCCTTATAATGTGAATCTACAACTGTTAGTGAATTATTTTTGTTTTCAGCCTAAACTCTGGAAACTTTAGGAAGTGAGCACTGTCAAAGTGCAACATCTTGATCTTTCTTGTTTTCTTACTAAATTACAAGTATATAATATCTCCTAGGAGCCATAAGGCTTTCAAAGATTTTAATTGCTTTTTCCATTCATTTTTTTATATTTTCATTAGAATGTTTTGTTGTTGTTTATTTTGAGCACAAACAAGCTTCTAAATTCAAGAGATAAACCAGTGATGTGTTGATGCCTTAGCAAAGAAAGAGCTTTAAATGAGATATTTAGATACTTTGTTACCAGCAGACTGTAACAGACACAATTTGTTCCGATTTTTTAGCTAAATATAGGAAAAAACTAAAAAGAATGACACAGCTTAACACATAAAATGGAATTTTAGCACCAACCAATTAAAGGTGAGTGAAAATGTTTTCACAGCACTGTTTATTTACAAGACCCACGTTTGTGTGAGTGAAACTCACTAACTCATTATGGGTTCAGTTTTAAGAGCAAGTTTTAGTCCACATGACACGAAAAGAGGTTGTCTCCTGAATATTTTGTCATTTCAAATTATGCAGCCTACCTACTATTTACATACAGTTTGTGTGGTCTCAAGCAAATCCCTCTGAACCTGAACTGAATTTCTCTTACACTTTTACCTTGTTTAAATCAACTTGGAGTTAGTACATCAACACACATTGAGTGTGCTTCTGCATGTCTTGGTGAGATATGTCTTCTCTGTATGTCAGATTTTGTATTATTCTTTTTTTATTTTTTATTTTTTTGGCACAACAAATGCAGATGAGTATCCACATTGGTAATTATCGGTTACCAACGTGTAAAAAGCTCTGAACAGCATCTGCTCCTTCCACAGAATCTGGTAATTATGAAGAGATATTGATGGCTGCAAGTCAGCTGCTTAATGAATCCAGATATTGATCCAGCATCCGTGGCTTTTTGACAATGACCCTCCCGTCTCCCAGCCCTCATTCAGGACCGACACAATGAGGCCTCCAGCTGGTGGCTCGGCCACGCCACTGCCACATCAGCAAATCCTGACTCCACCGGCATAGGTAAATAAAGTCCTCACGTTCAGACCAACAACTGCTTCACAGAACATAATCAGACGTCTCTGTTCTCATCCATGAATGATTTCAGGGGATTACTGCCACGAGCTCGCACCTCTGTGCTTCAATATGCAATCAAAAGAGAAGAGCAGAGTTTAATTATGTATTGATCAGTGATGGCTATTGATTTAATCATCTTAAGCCTTATAAATATAATTTAAGGTTCAAACTGCTTGTCAGGTTGGTAACATCTGCTAATGTGCTTATTTAATTGTTTTAATTAAGGTTTTTAAAAGTATTTTATTCTACTAAAACATATATTTGTAATGGTTCTACTCTATTCTCTCTATGGTTGTATTTTTTAATCAATTTTTTGTGGGTGGGCAGCTAATTAACTACTGTTTGTAGGCAATATTGATTGAAATATCTCATTTGAGAGCAACACAGATGGGTTATTTTAGACATAATAAAAAAACAACAACTCCCATCTCTAAAAACCCACTTTAAAACCACAGCCTTTGAATATTTGGTGTGCTGAAAAAAGTTTAAAACCTGGATAAACGATGAAATTTGTTCTGTGTTCTGATAAATGTATGTGGTCCTGTGATGTCCAGGGTGTCCCCTGCGTCTCACACTCTAACTGCCAGAGATATGCACCAAAGGAAAAAGCAGGTAAAGAAAATAGACGGATGATTGCTAAATGTTGTGATGTTAAGGCCTAGAGCACCACTGGGCTCCACACTGCGAATGGTCCGGCTGTTTGGCCACAATCAATAGGGTTAAGGTCATTATCATGTTATGAATGCCACGGGGCCCTGGGAAAGCAGAGCAGAGGACCACTGATCTGGATTCTGATTGGCTGGAGCTTGTCTCTAGGAGAGGCCACCCCCCTGCTGACCTTAGATGTCATCTGAAGGGCTGCTGACCTCTAACCCCATGCTGGAGGGGGAATAAAGAAGTTTCCAGTTTGCATAAAATCAACTGGGTAAGCATTAAAAGTGTACCTTATTTAAAAAAAATTTAAATAGGAAAGTTCTTTAAAGGCAATAAATTATATTGCAGACACATTTTCAAGTGTAAATTTAAAACTACACTTAACTTAGAGAGAAAATAACTTGTATGTAAATTAACTGGCTGAGGTTGCGCTGAAGTTCTTTTTATTTATGCTGTAAAGTAGTTGTTTTCATCTGCATAAGTAAACACAAAAAGATATACTTAAACACCCCAAATCATTCTTTAAAAAAAGTTTATTGGCTTTTAAAACCACTTTAAAAATCTCACCAGTGAGTACTTTCCATTGAAAAAAAAAGAAAGAAAGAAAAAGGAACAACGCGTTTGCAATATTAACAAGCTACTGTACATTAAGCAGAACACCAGACAACAACACAGAGGAGGTTTTTTTCTTCTTCTACTGGTAGAAATAGACGAGATAGTCAAAACAGAGTCGGGTCAGTAAAAGGTAAAGAATCAGAGCCACTGATGGAGCTGCTGTAATCATAAAGAGGTGCGTTTCCTTCATTCAAATTTAAATATCACTCATAATGGTAAAGAAAAACGAAGAGAAAACGATACTTTTTTCTTCCACAAATGCATTTTTTTCTCAAAATATGAACAAGTTGCCAAAAACATAAAATATAAAAACATTAACTTAGTAAACAACACACACACACACACACACACACACACTCACATACATTAATGTAACTTATGAAACTAGCACTGCCAGTATGGTCAACAGAACCTGCCCAAATCACAGAAGACAGTGGTTACCAAGATTACAAAGTACAACAGAAGTATTCACACATGCGTGCATACAATCATTTTATCAACATAATGAGCATGTAGGTTTTAAAAGGTCATTTAACTTTTTCCCCCTCAATGCTTTGTATTCTCATGTATGAGAATGAGTAAGAAATGTGTATCTCACTGAGATTAATGCACATTTTGCTACAAGACAATTAAGTCATTTTCTGACACTTAAGTTTCCTTACTCGTATTTTCATAAAAAATATTCTTTTTTCTTCCCCCCTCTCTCTTTTATCTCCTGGGCATCCATCATTCTATTTTTTGTCCATAAAGATGTGTCAAAGCCATGTGTCGTAAAAATTTAGTGCAATATATAGGTGAACCTCCAAAGTTTGTTGAAACATTTCTTTTTCTTTTAATCCAGTGTCTGCTGATAAGACTTTTGAGCACAATGTCACAGAGATGTCTGCAACCAGCTAACAGTTTCACAACTTTTTTTGAAAAAAAAAAAAATTCTCCATGCTATTGATCCTGCTCACAGCACACATCACTTCTGCAACTGCAGAGTCCTATTACCTCTGAGTATATATATTTAGATTTATATATATTTATATATATTGGGGAAAAAACGTTCAAAAGTAAAATCAGCAAGCGAGACCAGACAGCTTTACTGTTACGACACACTGAGCCAGAAATGTAACACACAACATACAGTATCTTGCCAACTATAATCTGTTAAGCTTTTTTTCTTCTTCTTCTCTTTTCGATGGCACATACTTAGCTAGATAATGGCCATAATATAGTGTTTTGATACATCAAATCTCTATGTTTCTATCCTATTTACAGATGGAGCTTAAACATGACTTTTACAACATTGACGAATAGCCAAAAACTCGAGCAAGCATCCTACTGTTATCACATAGCCTACCTGGCTATCAGTGATGGTTTCAACATGCTTTCAGGTCCATGGTTACTTAGAAAACATAGGACGGCGACCATTTCACAAATTTACAAACTGTACATAAGATTCACGCAACTTAATCCGTAGCTTTTCACTATTTTATTTTTTTAAATTTCCTTTATCTTTTGAGGCTGCTCACTTCCTGTTGTTGTTAATATCGACTAGGAGTGTTTCTACATGTGATAAGCTCTTGTTTCTCAAACAGGTCGTCTTTGGTATGGACGTAAGGCTGGATGTCTGCGAACAAAAATTTCCCTCTTGATCTCAAGATGGCGTCAAAGCAGAACAGTGCTGACCTTTAGGTTTTCCCTCACAGCAACGCCTTCTCCATACCGTCAATTTTTACGGATTCAAGCCGGGGGTGGGGGTGGGGGGTTAGCATGCCATGAAAATTTGAATCAATAAATGCACAGAAAAAAGTACAAAAAAAGAAAAAAAAATCTCATGACTGCAGTGTGCCTGTTGAGGAGTTTTCAAGAAATCAAAGCGTGGTCAGTTTCTCGAAATGAATGAATGTCAAGGGCACACAGTACACGAAACGTGTTTGAATCGTAACAAAACAAAAATAATAAGTACAGAAAATATCAGAGTAACAGCTGCCTTAAAACACGAAGCTCTGGATATCTTAAAACACTTTACTATATACAGTTTCTCTTAAGGTGGCGTAAGGCCTTAGACGCTGAGAATAAGGCAGCCAGTTGTTGATTTCTTTCAAAGAGCAATCCAAAAGAAAAAAAAGTGGCCCACATCTCCATCGTCTCCACAAGGACTCATATACTCCCATTGTAAGATATTAAACAGTGCAAGAAGTATAGGCTTTGAGAAACTTTACTCTCAGACAAAAGCTCAGATGTGAATCAGTTTTTTTCCACTGATTTAGCATATGATAAAAGTATAAAGATTATGTCAGAAAATCAGCACCTGGGAGCTTAAGATGCTACCCTTGTAATATTTCGATATGGCAGACGAACATACTACATCTATTATGTGCATATACTACAAATACCAATATTGTCTCCATTTGGTTGAACTGCACGCATTGAAAAAAGTACAACAGCATATGGTTTGTTTGTTGTTGTTTTTTGGTGAAGTATTTTGTGCCAGATTTTCAAACCATCCCACCTTCCTCAGTTGTTCGTACGGTATAAATATTGCATTATTGAATGTTACTTTTCAGAGAATGTTCATAGCACAGAAATGCTCTTTCAAGTGTCTGCTGCCACCGAGAGCTCACACTCTTTGCTTGAAATGCTTTTGTTTGTTTTATTTTAGGTAGGGGGTGGGGAGTAGAATGAGTGGTAAATACTGAACATTTTTGGTGACATAATGTTAAGGGAAGTTAAGTCAATAAACATCAGCGGGAGAGATTTTCTGGTAAGCCTGGCACTTTTAAAAACTGAACGAACGGCAAAGTCCAGACAAATCCCAACGAACTGTGGTTTTAAAAACAGATATAATACATATGCACCGAACCAAACGACAGAGAACAGAAATTGTACAAAGTAAAATTTAACCCAGCATCTCTACTGTAGTAGGCTGGTCTTTGCTTTCTAGCCAGTCAAAGCCAGAGTTCACAGTATCACTGCATATCTGCTGAAAAAGCGGGTCGTTCTTCAGTTCTTCCAGTGTTGAGTCTTCATATTGTTCCTGCTGCTGATTGGGATCGAACAGCAAGTTGGGGTCCAATGTATTAAGGTCAGTGATGCTACTGGACAGATCTGAGGTCAGTCTGATGTCGTTGGAGAAGTCAGACGCCACGGCGTTGAGCTCCGAAGCTACCTGACCTACCAGCTGAGAACTGGGATTGAGGCTATCCTCCCCCAGCAAGTCCTTGACGGTGTTGTTGAAATCAATCTGCTGCTGCTCGTCCTCCACCTCCTGCTGCTGTGTGCTCTGAAGGAGGAGCTGTGGTTGTGTCTGCGCCGGATCCTCCTGGAGCTGCTGCTGCTGGTCTTGCTCACCAGCACCCATTTGTGCTTGGCCGTCCCCAGTGGAGAAATTCCCCTGTTCTCCGCTGCTCGTGGTGAGGTAGCCGTGCTGCTGGAGCTCAAAGGCAGCAGGGCTGGAGCCGACAGGCAGCTGGGCCTGGTGAGCGGTCCCTCCGGCGAAGCTGGGTGTCGTCTCCAGGATCTGCGTGAGGTTCATACGGGCCGTGTAGTTGGAGGGGAGGTTGTTGATGCCCAGGCCGCGCACCGAATCGTCTCCGTCTGCCTCCATCTTGCTGAGCAGGACGTTGGTGATCTTGGACGCGTTGCTCTGACCCTGCACGGGCAGCATCTCGCTGGCCATCATGATGTTCAGAGGCACGGACTGACTGCGCTGGACCATGCTGTGGACGGAGCCGACCGCCTGACTGCTGGACAGGATGTTGAGCACCTCAGATGTGACGGGGGAGTTGAAGGGTGAGACCACGGCTCGAGTGGTGGTGGTGGTGCTCGCGGTGGTGGTTGGAGGACCGGTGTTGCCGCTGAAGTTCCTCTGCCGCACTGCGGGGCTAACGCTGCGGCAGCGGAAAGTACTGGACGCGGATGAGGTTGAAGCTTTGTTGTCTAACGGTGCAGGCACTGCAAAACTCTCCTGTTTGGTCGGAGTAGTTACACGGGTAATCTGCTGCTGCTGCTGCTGCTGGACTGGAGAGATGGGCGTTAAGCGGCCAAAGTGAGCAGCATCTTGTCTCGACTGAGACTGAAATGACTGGCCAGGAATTGCAAATGCATGAGGCTTACGAAACTGATCATCTACCAGGTCTTGGTAGCTTGGCAGAATGCCAATGCTGTGGTTGGACAGAGGACCAGCAGCGGTGCTGTTGTAGCGGTTGTTGATCCACTCCAGTTTGGCTTTGTCAGGGTGTGTTGCCATGGGCCTCTGCATTGGCTTAACGGGGCTGCTGGAAACGATGCTGGCATCGTGGTACCCCGTGATGCTGGAGTTAATGGGAGTGAAAGCAAAAGGGTTCCTGCACTCCACTGGGCTCGGAGGAACACTGCTGCTGCAGTTGGACAGCGGTGTGCTGATTGGAGTGTGACGACCCATAGCTCCGTCCACGGGGGTGATGGGGGCCATACGGGAGCAGGGGCTCTCTCTTGTCAGGTTGTGCGCCAGTGTCATTTCAGAGGTGGGCGTCGGCGTAGGGGTCGGCGTTGGCGTCGGAGTGGGAGTTTGAACAGGAGTGGTGCTGCTGTGGGCGGAGTGGTAAAAGGTGGAGCTGGCTTGATGAGCGCCGAGGATGGAGCCCTGACCGTTGGCCGGCTGACCCTGAAGGGACACATCCACGCAGTTACCAAACAGGCCCTTCAGCTTCATCTGCTCCTCCATCTGGACCAGCTCTTCCACTATGCTGTCCTGGGTCATGTCGTCGTCGTTGAACGGGAAGTAGTCCATGTTGGACTGGGAGCCTGCAAAGTCAACCATCTCCTGTGCGAGGGAGAGCTGGTCCGGGGCCTCGGAAGGTTGAGCTATCATGGAAAGTTGGTCGGAAGAGGCTTGTTTGTGTTCTGCTGGCATCTGCTGCGTCTCCCACATTGTGCTCTTTAGCTCGCTCGCAGAGGCTTCGTGCGGTCCTGAGTTGGCTGGTATGGCACGAGGGTCCCCGGTGATCTGCTGCAGCAAAGCCTGATCAGACGCGTTGCTCCCCACTGCTCCAACCGTAGTGTCCACGCAGATGGAGAGGTCTTCATGCTTCACCAGCATGTCCCGCTGTTTGACGACAGTCTGTGTTCCCTCTGTGTGAGTGAGCGGCGCGTCGGTGAGTGCCAGGATCTGTGTGGGCCCTGTAGGTGTATGTTTTGCAGTCCCTTTGCAGGGGGCACTCTCTGGTCTGGCAGGGGTTCCTGGTCGGGGAATCCTCTTCACCGCAGCACTGACCCCAGCTTTGGGACTGTCGACTACAGCGAGCGGCTGCTGGGAGATGAACACCCTCTTAACGGGGATGACGTGGGATTCCCCAGCCGTGCGTTTCCTGGGGCTCTTGGCATCTGAGCAGGGATCCTTCGACGTTGGGGTAACAGCAGACGAGCCATTTGACGACGAGTTGCCGACGGAGTTCTGATTATCAACAGTCAAGTACAAAGTACTGTCATGGCAGTTACTATTATTGCTGTCCTGAGTCCCGGTGTGAAGAGACGTGGAGTCAATTTTCATCCTAACCACTTTATCTGACCCTGGAGAACACTTAACAAGGAAGCTGGGCTCACTCGCAGCCCTAAATTTGGCTCCACTGACGTGCTTCTCTGCGGCAGACGTGGAGCTGTTGTCGTTTCCTGCTTCGGATGCCCCTTTGGTGTCTGCAGAGACGATCGGGGTGGAGTTCGCTGCGCTGAGTTTGACTGCGGGAGACTGGGAGGCGGCTGAGCCTCCAGCCTGCGACGGCGGGGACTCGTCCGACGTGGCCAGGGTGCTCATGCCCGTCGAGGCCGGTCGCACGGTCGTGCTGCTGCCGCTGCTGGGAGCCAGAGCGATGGCCGTCATCTTCACGACGTTGACCGAGCTGACGTGAGGGGAGGGCATCACGGTTTTTATGGGGCTGTTGGTGATGAGCAGGGTGGGCGGAGAGCGCAGCGTGATGGCACTGGTGGCGGAGGGCTTGGGAAGGATCTGGGCGTACCGCGTCCCGTGCCGTGCCAGCCGGTCACCTACAGGACTAGCCGGGATGTTCTGAGGAGTTTTAGGGGATTGTTTGAGGGACTGAGTGACGACTTGAAAGTTCACGGGCAACACTTTTCCTTCGGCCGTCCCCACGGGGCTGGGGGAGGTCATTATCTGCCTGCTTCTCTGGACCTGATGGAGCAGGGAGACAAATTAGAACATTCAGACAACACCTCTCAACGTGATTTGTGGGGGGAGGGGGAGCCAAACACGTACCGTGACCGGGCTGGGGACAGCTGCTACAACAATTCCTATGGTGGGCTGCGGGGAGAGCAGAGCGGGGCTGCCGCAGGGGATGGTGGGTCCAGGGGTACTGGCCTCTGTTCGCTTGACCTGGGTCTCCGTTGGAAGTGGGGAGTGCAGCTTCTGCTCCTGCTGCTTCTTGTGGATTTTGCGTTGTAATTGCTGCTTTGCATCAACAGAGGGAGACGGCAGGGTCTTCACCTGCGGCTGGAATGAGTTGGCCTCAGCGGTGGGCACAAAGGCAGAGGCTGGAGTTGGGGTCTTCATTCCTGAAAAGGCATAAAACGTGACTGAAATATACAATAAATGATCAGTGGCGATCCTGTGGAGGAGAGTTCGCTCATGGAGAACCCTGTGTAGAGCTTTGGTGAGGTTACACTTTCAGCACCATGGACAGAGCACGGAGCACTTTAAATACAACTTCTAACTTTTTGAAAACATGACATCATTTCTTGTTTGTGTTTATTTAGCCTTTTATGCTTTCTCAGTTCCAACATAATCACAAGCATGAAAGTGATGAGGAAAAAAAGAGAAAAGACTTATTTGTAGGGCTGCAGCTAACGATTATTTTAGTAATCGATAAATCTATCGATTATTCTGACGATTAATCAAGTAATCGTATATAAAAAATTGTCATGTTCTGCAGTAATTCCTTAAGCTTATTTTATGAGAAATACAATTATTTAATATTGCGAAGGGGTAATCTACACTTGCTGATGACCCTGCTGCAATCAAAGTAATGTTACAATACCAGTGGTATTAATTCATGCATTTTAAGCTCCAGTTACGTACTTGTGTGTGTGAGGTCTGAGGAGGCATTAATTAAAAGCTCTGTCACTGAATCATTTTTAACCATCATAGAAACATATAAATGCTGTAAATTTATTGTTATGGACTGGAAAACTGAATGTCTATTTTTTTGTTTTTGTTTAGAATTTTAACAAGTAAAATGGGTAATATAAACACTTGGGTGTTGTAATTGAGTGTTGTAGAGTGCGCCGATTATAAAAATATGTATGTTTTTATGAAGCTTCGAGGCAGATAATTTGCCTCGAGGATGTTTTGTAATCGAATTACTTGAATTATTTGACGAATCGTTTCAGCCCTACTTATTTGTGAAACAAGGTTATTTCTTTTTAAGATACAGAAGTGTCCTAAATTTATTTTTAAGAAACAGGCCAAAGTGGTAAAATTCCAAATATATTTGCAGGATTGATAGATGAAAGAAAAAGGTTATGCCACCAATATAATAAAGCTGATAATGTTTTTGCCAATGTCTATGTCTATGTGTGTGTGTGTGTGTGTGTGTGTGTGTGTGTGTGTGTGTGTGTGTGTCTCTGTGGTGTTTCTCACTTCAGGGGAGAAAAGA